AGCATCAACAACATCTTCATGCGCTTCTATGGCGTGAGCTCCTTGGCCATCGACTGGCTCTCCATGAGCTACATGCTCACCTACATCCCGCTGCTCTTCCCCATTGCCTGGCTGCTGGACAAGAGGGGCCTGCGCATCATCGCCCTCACCGGCTCAGCCCTCAACGCCGTGGGTGCCTGGGTGAAGCTGGGCAGCCTGAAGCCTCACCTCTTCCCTGTCACCGTCCTGGGGCAGGTCATCTGCTCCTTGTCCCAGGTCTTCATCCTGGGCATGCCCTCCCACATCGCCTCTGTCTGGTTTGGCTCCCATGAGGTGTCCACTGCCTGCTCCATCGCTGTCTTTGGGAACCAGGTAATGGGCAGCTGGTCCCTCGCTGACCGGGCACATGAGCTGGGCTGTCACCTCCTGGGCCAGAGGCTGGGAGTGCTAAGGGGGTAAACCAGGGAGGGGGAAGAGATGTGCGGGGCCTGGAGGGCAGCAGCAGGGATAGGAGGCACTTACATGAAATTCCCACTGGGAAATGCAGCTGGTACCTGGAGGGACGCAGCTGGGGTTAGGCCGTGGGCTGACAGTGGTGGCAGAAGCACGTGGGACCTAAGTCTACAAAGTTGGGGGCAGTGCGGGGGTTGGGTATGATTCTGGCTTTGAGAGGCGTTTGGACTCAGGGTCTTCTCCAGCGCCCTCCTACTCCCATGTCTGCGAATCTCCAGTCCAGGGGTGTGATTCAGTAGAACCATGGATGGGCTGGAGGGGAATGTGCCGTGCTGAGAAACATGCTTTAGGCAGTGTCCTGCAAACCTCGGATCTGCAGTTGCATCTGGACTTGACACTGCAATATCCTCCTCCTGCTGGCAACTAGATGGGACAAAGGAAATAAATGAAAAGTACTTCTCACTGAGCCCTGGAGGAAAAGGACTTTAGCACTTTCATACCTCTCAAAAGCAGGTACAGAGTTTCCACAGGCAGTTGCTTTGAAAGGAAACAAACCTTCCATCAGGTAAGCTCCCCAAGCACTCTTGTATTAAGGTGGGTCAGGGAAGGCCAGCAACCTGCACTTGCTCAAGCTGTCTTTTCTTGTAGCCAGGTAGTGCTCAGAGGAGATAAATTTTTCCATAGCTTTGAAAGGATCGTGGAAATAGCTTCTTGACCCTTGCACCGGAACACCCACTCATCTCATTTGCATGAAACCGATAGGCCCATACTGATGCAATATGGCGTAAGCGAAGTGAGCCTGACTCTGCAACGGTGACATGAAGAAGAGGGTGGCAGGACCTGGTACTAGCTGCTAGGCTGGACCTGTGCCCCTTGCTTTGAGACCCAATGCACTCCCCTACACATGACTCTGCACCACCCTGGACCGTCTTTGATTCAGCCTGTGAGTGGCTGCTATTCAGATTTGAATGGTTTGTGACTCAGCTTCTAATGCACTGTTCTTCCTCACAGATAACTTTGTGTGCAGTGGGTTTGAAGTCTCCTTTCCTCGCATTCCTAGCTACCATACCTCCAAGATGGTATTTCAGGAACTGAAGTTTGTGGAACAGCGCTAGAGAATTAAAGAACCTCTGGTTTACTTCCTTTTGGAAAGAGAAAACATACTTAATCTTAGTCTCTGAGTGAGTCTAAACTTTCCTCTTTTCTCTTATCAGCCAGACTAGCAGGCTGGTTTTTATGTGTTTTAAATGAATCTTTAATGTGGAAGGCATTTCACTTGGCATAAGTACTCTGCTGATTTAGGAGTAAATAAGTAACTGAGCATTTTGCTGTCAGACTTTTCTTTAATTATTCAGGTGGAGTTACTCAACAGTGTGCATAAGGAATCCAGACAATGAGGTTTCAGCCTGTGCTATATGTGTGTGTGGTGTCCTCATCATCCTAAAAGGAGTGGGTTACCATAATGGTTATGAAAGCAAACTTTGGCTACGCTTTTGGTGCCCCACACTGCTCTGGGAGTTGAACTGAACTGACATGGCAATGAGACCTCAGTTCAGTATATAGTCTTTGCTTTGTAAGCCCAGACTTTCCTTTCAAAGAATTGGAAACATCAGAAAAGGCAATGACTAAAGGCAAGGTGTACTCCATAGGAAGGACCTATTAATTCCCGTAGTCAAGGGTTCTGAGGTGCATAATCACAGTGAATGAAAAGTAGCTATTTTGATTACTGGTGATGTTGGGCAGAGAAACAAATAGAGGCATCCTTTTTTCCTGACTCTGCAGTTAAAGACTGTGTTTTAGGGAGTGTTAGCAAAGGGTATAATACAGCGGGTTTGTAATTGCAGTATGGCAAATTATTCCCTATGCTCATTCCTCTACAACTGTATGGTTTTCTTTTCCTTGCCACGTAAGTCACCTAGTTGCAGATCCTCAAGGTGGAAAACTGTCACGAGTTGTTACCATGATTAATGTTATCGAATGCCAAGCACTGATGTCCCTCTCCATCATGAATTGCAACCAACTACATGGAGGAGCGGGGCAGTGCCACTGCTTCTTTGTTTGATGCACTTGCCCTATTTTTTCTCCTACCATCTTGGTATTAATCAGCACTTAAGCAGTGCAGTCCTGGGAAGAGCCCTAGCTGCTGTTTCGTCTAGGTCTGCCAGGGTGATGTCTGCTCAGGATGCTGCTGCTGCTTACTGAGTGATGGTAACGTTCAGGTTCAAAGTTAGCCCTGAACAGTGAATCATTGAACCAGTTGACTGGGTACTGAGTATCTTTTAAAAACCAAACAAACCCTAGGAGAGTATCAGATTCCCCTCACTTGTTCCTGGTCGTGTGTTGGCTGCAGTTATCTAAAGTGCAAAGAAGGGTTAGATTGAATGCTCTTGGATCAATACTGGAGAGCTTCTAGAAGAAAAGAGTGTGGACACCTGTGGAGGAGGTGATCACATTGTCTTGTTTATCCACTGCTGGTTTTCATGACATTTCACTTTTCCCCATTTTAACAGGGAGATACAAAGGTTTTTCCATTCTTTTTCTTTGTCCCTGCAAGTGCATGTATGGGGAGGTATAGAATGGGGTTTACTTGCATGTTAGCATTTACTTTGGCATTAAAATATTTGTGTTATTAAAATATTACCAGCATCTCATTGCTTAAAAGACTAGGAAAAACTCTATGTGGAGACTTTTCCTTAGGCTGAAGTTCCGGAGTAAGGAAGCAGAAGTTTTTTTGAGAGTTCAGTAATGTCCTTCAGATATGTTTGAATATTGTGAGGAATTTGTCTGACATGCTTCTGAAATACAGTCGTCAGTCGTAGTGTGCCTGCTACGTCATCAGCAGTGTCAGTCATGGAGGATCTCGGTGCTGGGTGCCTA